AGGCTCAAACTTTACTTTTACTACTGTTTTTTTAGTTTTAAAATCAAATCCAGCACCAGGCACATTAAAGCAAAAATAGGGCATAGAGAGGGACCTCTTAACTCCTTCTTGGATCACAATCACACTTCCATCAAGCCTGCTTTTCTCTCTTTTTACATGTATTCATACCCTTCAGGCTTGTCTACATGTAGTGAAAAACCCGAAGTGGGCCGTATGTATGTTTACAGATATACTGGAATATTTGATCCTTGGTGTACAGATGCTAGGTTGCCCCTCCTAAAGATCCCCCTCAATCTTCTGTTACCTCCCTTTAATTTGCAATGTGGTCATTTTGGCTACAAATACAAAGATGGGAGATCAAATCTTTTCCATGGCAGTTGCATGACCCTTGGACTGATGCAGGTTAATGAGGCCCAACATAACAGGTGTCAAAAGATACTCTGGGACCTCCCTCTAAATCTGGAGTAAACTGCAACCTTGAGCATATGTAAGCAGCTGTGCCGGTTCCTATTTGGGTGTTTACACTGCCATTCTGCTTTCCCTATGGTAGTGCAGTCTAGGCAAAGGAGATTTCATCTACCTTGATCTATTGATCTTCTGTTTCTGGTGTCGCTGGACACAAAAATGGCACTAGATACTGGATAGCACTTGATGCCTGGAGTGATAATATCCATAGCGGCAATTATGAAACAGGTGAAAGAAGGGAACAATTCCTCTTTTCCTGGTTCCATTCTCTTGTGTCACTTCATTTCTCTGGACATTGTAACTCTAGGCACAAAGCAGTTCCCAGTGCCTTTCTCGTGCTTGGTGGGTACCAAAAATAGCAGGTAAACAGGGACAAGGAAAGGGTCATGGTTGAGTGGCAGTAAACTGATTCTGTTGCTGCTTGACCATTCAGCTGCTATTCAGCTGCTGGGCTGGTTAAGGGCCTTTCAGTGCATTAGTCATCCATCTCTCGAGTCAGTTAGGATGCATGGAGTGTAGCCGCCACCTGTGATGCTGAGTCAGAGTACCTCACTCCACACCAGCACCACTGTTTCCAGCTGGTGAAATGCACCCCGAGTATGGGAGAAATAGAACAGTTAGTATTCTTTCAGTTTAAGCTTGCCTTGGACAGTGATTCATACAGTTTCAATTTTTATGTCTCATTACCAGTTCATGTCACTGGCTTGAGGTGATGGGAGTTGCTGTTAGACTGCATGTGGGAGACCATGTGTTCCCTTCCTTAACGTATATCTGAAAACATTTCCTTTAGTTCTCTTTATCCATGCTGGAAATACACATTTACTTCTCTTTTTTTTTGCTTTCTCTTACCCTCAACTCATTATTCTTATTCTTTTTGTCTCTTGTAGTCTTACTTTTTTAACATTATCTTATCATTATGGATATTCTTTAAGCTACCTTGAGCCCCACTCTTGAAACAAAGCGTGGAATATAAATAAAGTCTGACTTGGCCACGGTGGTCCACGCTTTGGTTACATCCTGCTTAGATTACTGCAACACTCTCTACGTGGGGCTGCCTCTGAAGACTGCCCGGAAGCTGCAGCTAGTCCAACGCTCGGCAGCCTGATTTCTAACGGGGGCTGGGTACAGGGAGCATACAACCCCTCTGTTACGCCAGCTCCACTGGCTGCCGATTAGCTTCCGAGCACAATTCAAAGTGCTGGTTTTGATCTACAAAGCCCTAAACGACTCTGGCCCAGTTTACCTGTCCGAACGGATTCTTCCCTATGAGCCATCAAGGCTATTAAGATCTTCCGGGGGGGGGGGGG